GACAGACAGACAGACAGACAGACACAGAGGCGATGGCATAAGCCCGCTTATATAGCTTTTAAGCAAAAGAGCGGGCTAAAAAGCGGCTCCAGAGTGTCTCTAGAATGTCTCAGAAATAGACAACAAACAGACAGTGCACAGGCAAAGCGAAGACTCGCTACAGACACGTCCAATACGTGCTAGAGACATCGAGGATGTCTAGAAAGTGTCTAATTAAGAGTCGGATTTAGACATCCAGAAGCCGATGCGAAGCCAGCCAGGGGCCACACCCGAGACGGTAGGGAGCTACTGCCAAGGCAACCGGGAGACACCCAGGAGGGACCCAGCAGACGCCCAAGAGACACTGCGGACCCGTCCCGGAGCCACCGTAGAGAAATCGCGAAGACACTTCGGATTCCACGAAAAAAAAAAAATTGTACCCATGTAATGGAAGTTTAAAAATTCAGATTCCCGCCGTGACTTGCGACTGGCCTCGGTAAACGGACCTCTGAGGCGATGTTTCGGTTAACCGGACCCGGTGGGAGTCGAACCACCGACTGTGCGTTCCGCGCTCCGGTACGGTATCCACTTGGCCAGAGCGATCCGTTGATAGACTTCACAATATACACGAACGACAACTCAGCCGCGACGATGCACTCGATTCTCAGAGGTAGCGATTGCAGGCAGAAGCAGCGCGCTCGAGCGTCCCCCCACCAGGCGCCTCTGTGGCGCAGTGGTCTCCGTGCCTGGCGGCTGGATAGTAAGCGGAGGTTCGATCCCGGTCGGCGCCCAACCAGTTTTTCCTGCACGGCGTCTTCTGACACCGTTCAAACTTAACATAAAGCGAGGAAATGGACTGTAGATACATAAGAGGCTACGGAAAAGGGAGACCACACTTATTTCATTTTATCCGTTGATGAGACTCAATCTGTTCCCAACGGATCGCTCTGGCCAAGTGGATACCGTACCGGAGCGCGGAACGCACAGTCGGTGGTTCGACTCCCACATTACCCTATTCAAATCAATCCTAACTGCACTAGAAATTAGAAACAAGACACAATAAGCGTAAATGTCGCACATTGTTCAGCTTGCTGTCGTTCTCGACTAGAACAGCGGAGGAAAATTTGGAACTCATCGTCCGGCAGCTTAATTTTTGGTCTTGAATTTTTGTCTCAAACGTTTTACTGTTAAGTGAAAAGGTAAGCCGCAGGGATCGACAGAAAGAATTATAGAAGTGCGAACCATTGTTGGCTCAGCAGTATTTTACCGATTATCGTGATGGTTTTGATGTTAAATTTAATATTTCTCAAAATTGGCCAGAAAGATTAGGCTATAGTCAAATAAAATCAATTTTTGGATTGATTTTTTGTTAAAATTTTATCAAAATCTGTATTTGTCGATTCCGCGGTGTTCGCGTCGGTCGTAGTTGGCAGGCCAAACGGTGTTCGATAGAGGACATTGTAGGCTATGAATGCGCGCAAAAAAATCGACACTTTTCGAATCCCCGCCTGTAAAACGCGAGAAGCGTGGTGCGCGGTACTTACGCCCCTGCAGTGGTTCCAGTGACCGCGGGGTTGGATTGGCCTGTGCACACATGAAGTAGAGGTCATAGGGTACCCCTTCGACCCCGAGTTGGCTCCGCTGACACCAGGGTGCGCGCGCAGTGGGGCGTCAAAGATGGCGGCTCGCATTCGGGCCGTTCGGCGGTAAAACCTAAAATCACTGTGCAACAGCACTAAACGTTGTCGGTGCGCGCTCGGCCCGGGCTCGTTGGTAACTGCCAGGTCCAAACTATCATTGAAAGGCCGCACCTCGGCGATTCCTGACTTCGGACCCCAAAATGAAACGGGCTAGGCTGCAGCCACAAATTATGTAAGAAAAAATTCTAACTCGATTCTAACGCTGACGCGTTAATCGGCCCCTGAAGTTTTAACGAACAATCGTATGCACACGAAGAAATAATCATTAAGTTATTCTCTTTAATAGATTGAGTGTTAAAAATTAGAAGAGGGGGAAGTCTTCAATACTTGGTGGTTAGTGTTGTGGCTCCTCGGTTTGAAGTCATCACAATAACAAAACCAACAGCGAGGCAAGCGCCTTATAGAAACTGTTCCGTGGGTATTCCCCGGCAATGCCAACTTTTACTTATAGTGACAATTATCCTAGGTTGGGTTAGGTGTTTTCAATATATTAATATGAATAATATAATATGAATATGAATTCACCTCTAAAGCCGAAACAGTAGAAGATACGGCAAATCCGTGGGTAGTTTCTAAGTCAGAATGTGTTGTTTAGGGGGGTGACTTCCTGTGACATTTTACAATTGGACGCCTCCTTGTACGTTTTTATGTGCAACGTGGTATTTTTCTCCGTATTTTCGTCGAAAAAAGCACTCTAGCGCCCAAACGGTGCAAAATAGAGTCAAACGGACAAAATCTTAGCAAGTAAGATTTTACTTTCAAGAGTTACCCTTAAAAAGACCATAAAAAATCCTACTTTTTGGACCAACCCCTATTTCTTTGTTACCCCCCATCAACCCCTTAGGGGTGGTTGCTAGGATTTGCACCAGGCGTTTCGT